TTGGCATCCTCTTCCATGCGCTGCTTCATCTCCTCCTCTGCCTTCTGTTTGGCCTCCTCTTCCATGCGCTGCTTCATCTCCTCCTCTGCCTTCTTCTTGGCCTCCTCCTCAATTGGTTCATGCTGGTGCTGCTGCATTATTTCCGCCAAGGCCTTCTGGTACATCTCTTCTTGGAGCTTTCGTAGCGCTTCCTCATGTGGCGCAGTCTCCGGACTTAATGCTGTTCCCCTCTGCCTTTTCTTCTCAGCTTCCTTCTCAGCCTTTTTTGAGCCACAAGCCGCAGTCTCTCAGGATCAGTGATGTCCTTGGCCTTCTTGCTCAGCAAAAGAGCGCCCACATCTCTGTCGGGCTCTGCTCCGCTTTTGGTGGAAAGCTTCCATTGCCGTTGCCCGTCCACGACCGTGGAACGCAAGCACCAATCAGAGCACTTGTCAATTGGCAGCTTCAGTTCCTTGGACTGTTCAGGGCATATGAGGTACACCTTGCCAGACTTTTCTGTGGATATGATAGGCTCAGCGCGATCATCGACAGGTGCCTCATTCATGTCCTTTTCCTCTGTCTCTTCGCTTGATTCACAGCCAAAATCATCATCTTTGATCGGTTCAACATACTTTCTTTCTTCCTCTTTCCCTGTCTTTCCTTTTGGCTCATCCTTGTGCTCTTGCCTCTTGTCCCTTTTCTGTTTCTTCTTCTGCTCATCCTCGTCCTTCTTTTTGCAGGTTCTTGTTCGCTGGAGACGCCATGCCTTTCATTCCGCCAGGGGGTGCATTCCTGCCCACCTTTGACGCATTCTCAGCTGCGGAGCATTCATTGAACCATTCGCGGCACGACATGTAGTCTATGTCATCATCATTGTCCCCGCCCTCTTCCTTGAGGTAGTCCACTCCATTTTCTGTGAAAATCTTCCACTTGCTGCCCTTCTGAGTGGGGGCTCCAAGTTCAAGTTCCAGGCCGCTGTCATCATGGACAATGAAGACCTTTTTCTTCCCTTTCTCGAGTCGCCATGACTCATCCGTCAGCTGGTCTTCGCTCTCCTCTTCCTCACCTTCTTCATCTTCTGACGCTTCACTCTGGTTGTTGGAGCTCTGGTCGTCCTCCTCCTCAGGGATTTTCGACATCGGGGAGTCTTTGCTTCTGTCCTGCCGGAACGGGGGCCAGGAACAAACAGAAAAGTATCAGCATTCCTGAATAAATTGTTTGTACCAGAATCTGGAGGCCAGGTTGACCGTTAGTATAGTCACAATGAAGAAACCCTATCTTTTCAAATCTGGAATCAAACTAAATGATCACCCCCATTCGTCCTGAGTCCAAGCTGGTAAGGGCGCAGGTTCATGTTGAGAAGGCCTCTTGGGAAGCATGTGAGCAAAGACGCCCACATCGTCTCCAACCTCCAATTTCTTCATCCTGGCCTGCATGAAGGTTCTAACCTCACCAATGCTCCAGCCCGTGTATTCAAGGGGTCGGCCCCTGCGATCATATTCTCGTTGGACAGCTTCAATCATCGATGCTTTGTTTCGCCTTGGATCGGAGTGAACGTTGTGCCGAGAGGCTGAACAATATGCTAAACGAAAACATAAGAATACCCGCAGTTTTAAAATTCATCTTGCCCGGAAAGAGCTAGCGCATGCCTAGTTGCTCACAGGGCTCATCGTTCGGAACGAAGCCAAGACAAAAGCTCAACATGAGAAACAAGTCCTCCCGATCCCATTTCTTCACCACCGTCCAATTGCAGTTGGTTTTGTCCATCTCGGAGAGCCACACCCGGAAGTGAAAATTCTTAGTTCAGCGAGCGCGACAGGAAAGTCGCCGTGTTTTCAGCAAACCTAAAAGAAATAAAATGAAGTAAAAACATTTGAGCAAACAGCCGAACTAGCAACTGGCATCTGGTCATAGGAAGCATGGTTGTAGTACTCCTTGGACACAGACCTGCCACCTTCTGACAACGGACCCTTGCGAGCAGCTGACTTCTTCGCTGCTGCCTTAGACTTGGGAGTCTTCGGCTTTTTGGGCTTCACCTCAGGCTCTTCTTCTTCCTGCTCTTCAGGTTCCAATGTCATAGTTTGTCCGCCAGGCCACCTTAATTCAATTCAGCAGTGGCCACTACACTCAGCAGGCAAAGTTCATCAAAGTTCTTTTTTTGTCAGCATATATATATATAGAGAGATAGAGAGAAGTATTGAACTAGTAAGGTGAACTAAATACAGGAATAGATGTGGGTGGGTACTTGCCAAAAAGCATCAGAAATAATCAGGAGTAAACCCTTGTCATTCATTCATTGCTTGTCAAAATCAGGGCAACACATTTTAGAACTACAGCAACCAAGGAACGCTACGGATTTCTTTGACCTCATACGGAGCAAAGGGGCTGCCAACTTCCTTGGCGGGGTCTCTGCTTCTGACTTCTTCCTTTTTGCAGAACGGTCAACACTCTCCTTCCTCTGCCTCTCTTCAGGGGTCCTGCTCCTGCTTCTGGCTTTGGCGCTGCTAGAATCTCTGGCAGAGATCCGAGCTGATGATGATGGTGCCCTTGTGGAACTCTCTGTTTTCTCTTTGTGCCTACCACCCCCCATGGCCTGGTTTTGACTAGTGATCCAGGTCTCGAATTGCAAACTGTAATCCAGAAAGGCCACCAGATTGAACAAAATTGGATGACCACATTGAAAGCATCGACTTGACCTGATTTAGATGAAACATGTGAACAAACCAAACTGGGGGGCATTGAATAAAGTAGCAAATCTTTTTGACGATGGGCCACTTTGCAATCTCTGGTCCGCGAATTATCCTGACATCGCTGGCTAGCGCTGCTTGAAAGACGCCAATGCCAAGAGCTGAACAACACCTATGGAGTTGAAATTCATGCAGTTGCCTGCGACAGTGCTTGCTCGCCTGCTGTCAATCACAGGTAGTTCTGTTACCAACATCGATTTGGCGATTGATTTGGTAACGGGAAAGGCTAAGCTCGCAAGTTTTTCTCTTCCTGTTAGGAAGCGCTTCAAGTGCACTGACCAAGTCAGCCCTCCAGACATTCGGAGTGTGGGCAACTTATTTGAAACTGCACTCCATGCACGTCTGTAAGCGTTGTCCCCCAAATGGTACACCAAGTCCTTGTTTTGAAACGGGTCCCCTTTCCACCTTCTCCTATACTCCTTGTTCAGGGTTTTGATGACTGCCTTCTCTCGATCTGTCAAGAGTCTAGTGCAGTCCAATCTTGCTGATCTTCCAGTAGCAGCCTTGGCGACAAGCGGTGCGCATCAACATTGGTAAGCCGGCCGTTCCACAGAAAAAGAACAGTCCTTGTAAAAACAACACAACAATGACCAAATGATCAATGAGGCTTACAACTTACCCGCGCTAGCCCTTACATTATGCAACCCTTCCTGAAAAATCCCGAAAAGAAGCACCCAGTGAAGTTTTTTTGGATAACTCCCCAAGGTTTGGTCAACAACAAAAGTCAAATTATCTACTTGCTCAAAACCAGGACTCTTTGAATACCTTCTTGCGTTTAAACGCCAATTCTTGCGCTGCAAGAATCACTTCTGTGCGGTTGGAGACAAAGTAATCAGAGGGCCTGGTAGAGATTCTCGATTTGATCTCTGAAGAAATGGCAAAATACAAAGCTTTGGGGTCAAGAAGTTGGATGGTGCGGGTCTTGTGTGCCAGTATGATGTAGACCCTCTCCCTGCGAGTCCCAGAGTGGCCAACGTCCTCAACATCAACCAAAAGCTTGTGGATGTGGTAGTGCTCGCCATAGAGGTATTCAATGAGCTTCATTTTGAGGTTCTAAGGGGGAAACACCAGAAGTATCCAACTAACGTTTGTCATTTGCAAGAATTTTCCTTTACTGCTATCGATACGACCTCATAATACAATCATATATGTTACACATTAAATTTATCATTGAACACGTAGTTTTCATCATGAACCCACTTTGTTTGTCCTTAACGTTCTCCAAGATGATCAGAGGGGTTTTCGTGTGAATATGCCGCTTGGCGTGGCAAATGAAGGTCCCGACTGTCGGGCCATTCTCAGCCAAACGTTTCCCAGCTGAGCTGTAATCCCAACAAGGAAGGCCAGCCACTTCTAAGCTGGCACCTTGGTCAAGCCTGCACTGCTGATTGTGGACATAGCAGTGTTGAGTCTCATAGATGTCGGCCATGTCCACCTGCTGCGTGCTGCAGTGCAGTGCGGGAATAATACGCATACTGCTACAGTACAAGGTGTATTCTTTCCTTTGCACCACATGAGGTAAACTTTTGGTATCTTCTGGTACCTCACGTGTTGTTGGACAGGAACCCCGCCTTCTCAACTTTGACTTGGAAGCTATCTATCTTGTCGTACGTGTGCCTGGGAATGCAATCCTCGATGTCTGAAAAGACGCATGGGGTTCTGAACCCCAATGCAGTGTTCTTGCGAATCCACTCTGAATGATCGATGATCAGCTGATGGCATTGAAGGTCCCATTCCTTAGCTAGACAAAGTAGCTAGACAAGGACAAACCGTCTTAAGGTGGACCGGTCAAACCGTCTTCCAGGCTTGTAGCCTACCTTTCCCATTAAACTGAAACTTAAATAAAATAAAATTAGAAGTTATAATATACTATTGATGGTAGGCGCGCCGGGCGCGCCAACGACCAATTTGTCCAAGCGTCGTGGCAAGTCACTGTTTTGAAACTGATGGGTGTGCCCAGCACTCCTGATTTGTTGATGGTGGTCTCCACAACTACCAAGCTCATCTCTGCGGTCATAGCACCCGTGCAGCTGCTTGACGTTTTCCTTGCCGTCATTAGCATCGACTCCTGCTAGTCCAGGACAGTTCATGGCGGCTGCTGAACCCTGTCGTTTGTTGAACCCTTTACCTTCTTCTCCGTAAGAAAACTCTTCTAGTTTTGCGCAACCAGTAAAACAACCTCCAACATAGTCCTTGAGGACATCCAGCGGAACTGCTGCCTGAAGAGCAGCCCAGGCATACGCGATCGCTTTGCCAGTTTGACCAAGGGTTCGCCTTGCACTGGCATTTTCCTCAGCTGATATTGCAGAGTTTTTCAAGAACCCTCCCCATCAATCAAACACTACTGTAATGTAGTCCTATGATTAATAAACCCCCCTAGAATAGTGTCTTTTTTTTCCTGCACAGATTAATAAAGGCCCCTAGAATAATGTCTTTTTTTTTGGAGGGGTAGTTGTAGTGTTTTTTTTATTGTTATAGTTTACTTTTTCCCTTTTGAGTTTGCTGGGATTTGCTTATCTTACAGGCTTTTGGATTGAGATTTCTATCAAACATTTGGAGATTTCCATTGAGATTTGATTCTTTTGGAGGCTTTTGGATGGAGATTTCTATTGAAAATTTGGAGATTTCCATTGAGATTTGATGCTTTTGGAGGCTTTTGGATGGAGATGTCTATTGAAAATTTGGAGATTTCCATTGAGATTTGATGCTTTTGGAGGCTTTTGGATGGAGATTTCTATTGAAAATTCGGAGATTTGCTTTCCAAAAGTCAGTGCGCACTTTCTTTATAAAATCCCTTATTTAAAAGTATT